ACTCGGCGAGTTGAGTCGTGGTGGCCCCGCGATTCTTACCTAGGGACTCATCGAGTAAAGGGAGGGACTTGACGTGTTAAATGGGACTAAAGAGTTAAGTGGACACAGGTGGACTTGCCGAGTTGCCCAAGTGCACTCGCCGAGTCGGGTTAAAGTTGACCGTTGACTTTGGTTGACTTTTAGGGTTTGGTCAACAATGAGGGACTTTGAGCCAAAGGAGGGGTAAAATGGTCTTTTACCCTTCTAAGGGTGCCTAGAGAGAGTGGAGTCTAGTTCGGAGAGTTATATTTATGAGAGTATTACTTTATGTGTTTAGGCGGAGGCTAGATCGTATTTCTACCGAGTCAGTGATTTACCGGGACATCTGAGGTGAGTCTTCTCACTATACTTTAACTGGAGTGGTAATTAGAGTTATGTGCTAGAGTTATTGTATGCTATTATGTGATGTGTTGTACTGCATTGTTTCTATGTGGTTTATATCAGAGTATATCAGAGTTAGAACCGAAAGGTTCACAGAGTTAGGACCAGAGGGTCCACAGAGTTAGGGCCCACGGGCCCACAGAGTTATAGCCTCGAGTGGCTAGTATGTGTTATGTATGATATTTTGGGGAACTCACTAAGTTTTACGCTTACAGTGTTATGTATTATGTGTTTTAGGTACCAATGATGATCGCGGGAAGGCGCCGACATGATTCGTACACACGCATAGATTTTTATGTATTTTGATCTTGAAAAATATTTCATGAACCAAAGTTATCATACATTGGGATTTTGTTTTTAAATGTGTTTGGTAAAACGTGTTTAAAAATGCGAAAATTTGTTTTGAATTTTACAGTGTTACATTAAAATAAAAATCAAATTTTAATTTAGTTACTTGTTATATAAATACTTGTATAAAAGAAATGTTTCATATACTATTTTTCAAAATTTAGATAATTTTATTTTAAAACTTGAATTTAATGAAGATGTTGGTAATTTGGTATTATATATTTCAAAATTTTGGATTTAATAATCAACTGGACCAATATTTATAGATTTTACTTTCTTATCGTCCACAATCGTAGGAGTATTACCTATAAGTTATTATGTACTTTTGTTAAAGATCTCTATAGACACTTGAATTCTTCAAATAAAAAATACTACATACTAAAAACAAAGTGTAACACACTCATAAATGTTAATAGATTTAATTTACTTAAAGAAACAAAGAGCATACTACTATTTACACGTTATTACTAAAAACAAATTGCACCAATACTAATAATCTATTGAAGATAATACTATTTACATGTTATTACTGAAAGCAAAGTGCACCGATACTAACAATCTATTGAAGAGGGAAACTAAGAAAAACACTAAATACAACCAATATAAATACAAATCATACAGAAAAATAAATAAAAACGCTCAAAACTACAAAAACACAGCATTTCTTCTCGATACACGCAAAATAAAAAGGGAAAACTGCAATAAAATCCCTACATATTGGCCTCATAATCGATTTAGTCGTTATATAATTTTTTTATTAAATTAAGTCCCAAATACCGGTAATCGTATTCAATTTAACCATTTGACCCGGTCAACAGGTCATCCAACTTTTAAAAATTATATTTTTGGTCCAGATTTCAAAATTTATTACAAATTTGGTCTAAAATTTACACTTTTAACCCAGATTATAATTTTTTTTACAAATTTACTCCAAAATTTACCCTTTTTGCCCAAATTTTAGAATTTTATTATGAATTCATCATAACTTTAGTTTTTTTTCAACTTTTTTTTTTCTCAAAAATTTGTTTCTAATATGTTTTTTCTTTATAAACTCATATTTATACAAAACAAAAACATATTTTCACATAAAAATCTTATTTTTTCTATATAAAAACTTTTTTTTTAAAAATTTTTGTATACGAAATTTCTACTTAAAAAATAGGTTTGAATTATTTATGTGATTTTTCTTAAAAAATCAATTAAGAAATTAAAAGTAACCCTAAATTATACTATAAAATTATAGTTTGTCAAAAACTAGTTACACTTATTTTAATATTATTTATTTGTTCTTTAATCACATTTATAGGAAAAATAATATCAGTTCTTAATGATAGTTCATAGAAAAAAAAAAACCATTTTTTAAAAAAATTTCGACATCATGTTTTTGAGTAGGTTATGATACTTTCCTTGTGAAGCTCAACTCAAGCATGTTTCAGGTGTTTGAGTAATTTTTTTAAACCAAACTCATGTGTAAATTCTTTAGAACTTTAGTTGAAGTATTCTATTGTGTTATTGATAGTTATACTATTTTATATATTTATGTTGCTATTGTATTTTTGCTCATTTCTCACTCCCCTAAAAACATGTTTATCGATAATAAATTTCAACCATATTCCTTATAACAGACATTAAAAAAATATAGGAAATACAAGATTATAAATAATACAAGTAAGAAGAGGTTGATTGACAATAAAAAATCACAACCTAGATCGGACACGTATCATGAATGGATATGTTTTATTTAGATAATATATTTATTAAAAAGTTATAAAAAATATATCAAAGTTATGATTTTAACTTTTTTATTTAAAAAATTCTTACGAATAAAATATAATATAATATATATATATATATATATATATATATATATATATATATATATATATATATATATATTAAACTTATAATGTAACTAGTTTAAACTTTCATATAAATGTGATTAAAGAACAAATAATCCAAACTTGTTTTTATAATTTAGGCTTACTTTTAATTTATTAATAGATTTTTTAAGAGATATCATACAAATAATCCAAACCTAGTTTTATAACTAGATATTTTATATACAAAAAACTTTTTAAAATCTTATATAGAAAAAATAAGATTTTTATGTGAAAATATGTTTTTTTTTTTTTTTTTTTTTGTATAAATATGAGTTTAAAAAGAAAAAACATATTAGAAACAAAATTTTGAGAAAAAAAAGTTGTAAAAAAACTAAATTTAGGATGAATTCATAATAAAGTTCTAAAATTTGAGCAAAAACGGTAAATTTTGGACCAAATTTGTAAAAAAAATTTAAAATCTAGGCCAAAAGTGTAAATTTTGGACCAAATTTGTAATAAATTTTGAAATCTGAGCGAAAAATGTAATTTTTGAAAGTTGGATGACCTTTTGACCGGGTCAAAGAGTTAAATTGAATACGATTACTGGTATTTGGGACTTAATTAAATAAAAAATATATATAATGATTAAATTGATTATGAGGTTAATACGTAGAGACTTTATCCCAAATAAAAAAGGTCATTAAAAAAGATATCTTCCTTGCCAAAGTGCCACAAAACCATCATATTCATATCCACATATATCCTCAATAGCCTAAAAGAACATTATAAGAAAAAAAATTAGAAAGTGTAATATACATATATATCTTTCAATAGCCTAAAAAACATAATAAGAAAACAAATCATAAAGCGTTAACTGCTTAATCATGGGTTCTAATCTCATTTCCTCCGGAAACAACCCTTGGCAACCCGATATTTAAGGAAGCACAGCTAACCTAAGCGGAGGCAGAATCAAAGACCCAAGTTTTGGGAGTCAAGGAACTGGAAGACAGACACACGGTGTAGGTGACTACAAAGAAAGTAAGAGCTAAACAACAACAAATCGGACGTACTACCATTGTGAAATTTTCCATATGAATATGAAAGAAATATCCCTCTATTGCATTCATCTTCGTGCTTTTTTTTTTCCTGATTTAAAAGAGATGAATGTGTATACAAACTAAAATTTATATGTACAACTCAATGACAATACCTACCCGAAAACACAAAAAACCATAATCAATCATCAATGACGAAGATACATAATAAGATTGTCATAATAAAACAACTGATAAAATATTAATATCAGTAAAAAAATAAGGTTATTGTCACTGTAGCCCAACAATGTTTCGTATATTGGTTTAAATGGTCCCTCGTGACTTTTTTTTTTTGCATTATAAATGTACAAATTCATGTTTTTAAGGTTTAAAAGGTCCTTTTGAAAAAATTGAAGGGGTCATCCGGTAAACCTTTCCTGGTTTGCAGGTTTAATCAATGTTTTAAAACCCGGGTTGACCCGGCCGGTTCAACCGGTTGGACCGTGACCCGGGGTAGAAGGCGAGTCAATTGAGAACGGTTTTTTGTAAAAATACGGACCGGATTGAACCGGCCGGGTTTCCCCTGAACCGCGGTTGGGCCGTTTTTTTTGAACTGGTTAAAACCGGATTGACCCGTTTTAATAGAGTTTGGATAGTTGGATACAAGTTGCGAACACCAAAACAACGAGCCGTTTGCGGTTTCTTCAATGATTTTCAATGTTTAAACTTTGTGGACATCAAATTATTGGTTTTATATGTTTATGCATTATACAGGAAAGTAAAAAGATATAAAAATAGAAAAATACCATAAACCGGTTTGATCCGGCGGTTCAACCGGTTGAACCGGTTGACCCGTAAACCGATCATCACACCGGGTCAACAAAAAACCCAGGTTTTAAAACATTGGGTTTAATATGCAAAGTCAATTATTTAACTCCCACCCAAATTGCCACCTGCTAACAATAACCCTAAATTCAATAATGATGGCCATGAAGTCAATGAAGACTCCTTCTCCTTCTCGATTTTAGAGAAAATCAATAATCACATATGAACTGCATCATAAGAAATCAGAGGTTCAAATAAGAAAAGATAGCAGAGGCAACATTCTTCTAGTTCTTTACTCTGTTCTTCATGACTCGGTTTTTTTTTCCAGTCTTCAATCAAGGATTTATGTTGAAGTTGTTGAAGGGCGTCCCTTAGCTCTCTCTAGAAATGATCGAATAGTGTAGCGTAGTGATTGCAGGCTTTTAAGCATACATATTCAAGGCCAAAGGAAATTGGAATGACATCGATGTAAGGTTGAGCTTGTATAACAAAGGTGAGACTTGGACCCACCCGCTGTCTGACCTTGATAAACTCTCCTTGCAACTCCGCCTACCTAAAATCGATGGTGATTGCCTTCATCCCTTGGCTTATCCATTTGACCACATATTTCCCCAAAATTTTCTGGTCTAGCTTCGATTCTGTCTACCTGCTTTCCTCTGATTTCCGAGTAATTATCATCCACCACAGATTTACCTGTGATTTCCGTACGGGAGATACTGTTTTGTCCGAGTTTTTTTGTTGTAGTTGTTGCCGGTGCCAGTGTGTCGTTGCCTCTTGGTGGTGTTGATATTGACAATGATTTTCTTACTGGAACTGTTCTTGATGTTGATTCGTAACAAAAACATCCAAGACGATGGCTAAGGGGAGCATCCCTGAAAGGAAAAAGATGAGAATGAGGAAATTTCCAAGTCAAAGTGAGGAAATCGGAGGAGGGTTGGGGATGCTTCCATCCTTCATCTTTCAATACCCACAATTCGATTTGTTGTTACACTCACACCTCCCACACAAGACTCACTTACCTGCATCACCATTTGGATCGTGTTTGTGTTATGTATGCTTATACCTCCAGCAGTTCCACCATGCCCGATTGTCGTATTGGAGAAAATTTAAGTAAGCAGCAGGCAGCAACCTCCTCCACCCCTTGAATGGGAAGGTGTAAGCCACGTGGCAAAGGATTCTCCTTTCTCTTTGATTCAGAATTTTAATAGGAATTATAAAGATTCTTGTAAATGTAAATGTCTCCTCTTATTAATTTCAAAGATGACCTTGGTCATAAAAATGGAAGAAATAAACAAGCTCCTCCCTGGTTTAAGCGTGATCATAAGTAGGGTAATGAAAATGTATTCCCAGTTCTTTGATTTTGTTTCAGGTTTATTAGAATACTGATGTAGAAAGGGAAGACCAGAACAAAAAACAATGTGGGTTTAAGCTTGAATTTAAGTGAAGGTGAATGAGATGGAGACTGTGGTGGTGATGATGAACAAGGAAGATTAAAAGAGGGGTCCACAAGGAAGTGTAACCTTCAATCATAGGTAAAGGTACCGAATTAACAAGTAAAACAAAAGTTCGTACAAAGGACCATTTAAACCAATATATATTATTGGATTACAGTGGCAATAAAAATATTTAATATATATATATATATATATATATATATATATATATATATATATATATATATAATTAGTAATAAAAACAAATAATAAAAATATTTAACTAAATTTACATTACATAACCCAAATGACGAAGATACATAATAAGCTTTTTATCAATCAACCCAAAATATAAATGATTAAATTATAATTCCCAGAAACAAGAGATGAAGATATTTTGAGGCTCAAATCTATAAAATTTAAAATTTGATTTGTCGGTTCATGGTTTCGATTCTTAGATCTAATCACACACCATTACCTTCAAATCTTGAATCTAATCCAAACATGTTTACAAGAAAACACTATTGTGTTGTCATATATAATATCCAACCCATTTTTGTTGTGTAGTGCATTTGTATGTGAGTGGTAGTGGTAGTTTTTAGTGAGACATAAACAGAAGAAGATAGGAAGATGGTGGTGCGGTGGTCCGTGGCTTTGGTGAAGCATGAGTATGGATGTAAGGATTGGTAGTGCATTAATGTTCATGGCTTTGGTCCGATGGTTGAGGCGGCGAAGGTAAGTGGCCAGCCATGATGTTTGGTGGTGAGGATGAGGATGACTGCAGTGAGTATTGATTAGAGATGAGGCTAGGTTGGAGATTTTCAAGAGAGATGGAAACGTATTTTTTATACAGAGTGGGTATATGCGAATGAGGGTTTAAAAGAGTCCGAATTTATAGTTTGATGTGTATTACGTATATGGTTTTGGTTGGTCCAAATTCATTTACAAGGATCACCACCAGCTTTTAATCACAACCATCTAAATTTAATCAATGGTCAAAATTTTGGGTCCTTGTTTAACACTTTGGTCTTAAAACCTTTGGTCTCCCTATTATGTAGGCTTTATAAAGTAGTATAGATACAAATAACTTCTTTTTTTATACTTTGTAGTATTAGATTTTTTCCTTAAATCTCATAATAGGTCCCCCCAAATTTATAATAAATTTCAGTGGGAACTTCTCTTGCAGCAAGAACCGTTGATCTAGTTGCCAACACAACCACAAAGGGCTACCTAATTTATTCATTTTTTCCGATAAGCTCCAACTGTATCATAGGGATTAAAACAAGTTCTTTTTTTTTTTCTTTTTTTACGTATAATTATTATATGATTACATGGATTATACCTATTTACATAAATACCCTGATGATTTCCACTCGTTAAGACATAGAGTCCACTAAGCATATCTTGAGTTGGTGCCAAATTGTATCCTAATAGTAGGAAACAAAAGATTCCTATGAGAAAAAAATAAGTAAACACGCCTTTGCTTGAGCCTCCAAAGATAAAGGCACATGAACAGCCATTTGATCCCCGTTAAAGTCTGTATTGAAGCCCTTACAAACTAATGGATTTCACTTGAAAGAAAGGCGTTCCTTCGAGAATCTAGTATTGAAATCACTGCATATGTTAAGCATGCCCCCCTCGTTCATCCTGAGCCAGGATCAAACTCTCCATGAGATTCATAGTTGGATTACTTATATCTTCCTTGTTCATAGACAAAGGGGATTCAAAATTGTCTTTCTTTCAAGGCCTAACTATATCCATGCGCTTCATATTCGCCCGGAGTTCGCTCCCAGAAGTATAGTCATCCTTGCCCCCTAGCATCAATCCCACGAGCCTATTGTATTTTCTCATTCAATCACGATGGGGTAGCAAATCAAATATCAAAAATCACATTGGATTTAGTGATAATCAGGATCGAACTGTTGACTTCCACCAGGTGACACTCTACTGATGAGTTATATCCCTTCCCTGCCCTTATCAAGAAATAGAAGTGATTAATCCTAAGGCAAAGGGTCGAGAAACTTAACGACACTATTCTTGAACAACTTGTGGCCGAGCCTTTTTTTTTTGGCACTATTACGGATATAAAAATAGTGGGAAAATAGGATTCATGTCATTCATCCTTATCAGAAATAGGATTGACCACGTATTCGATCCATAACACATGGTTTCATAAAACCACATGATATTCTTGATTTAAATCAACCAGGTTTTACTGGAAGAAGATTTGGGTCAGTGTGTTCTATTCGATACGGGTAGGAGAAGAACCCAACGCAATATTATTAAAACAAATAGAGGAAGAAAAACAAAGTCATGATGATATAGATCAACCCTGTTTTTTTGCGCCAAAGATCTTTCCATTTTTGAAGGAACTGGAGTTCCATCTCTATTCCATTTCCATTCAAGAGTTCTTATGTGTTTTCATGCTCCTTTGAGACCTCGAAAAATGTACAAATTCCTTTTCTTAAGAACACATACAAATTCATCACTAAAAAAGGACAATGGTAACCCCACCATTCACTACTTCATTTTTGAAATTCATATTAATAGAGATTGATGTCCTACCGAGACACAGTTTGTAACTTGCTATCCTTTTACCTAACAGGCAACAATTTGCCTCTGTGGGAATGATGATTCATTCAGATCGACATGAGAGTCCAACTACACTGCATTGCCAAAATCCATGTTGTATATTTGAAAGAGGTTGAACTCCTTAATTCTCTCATAGTATATTCCTCTTCCCATGGAACCCCATTTCTCCTCTATCCATAAGGACAAAATGTAGGACTGGCACCAAAAGTTTATTACGGAAGAATGGACTCATTAAGCCGAGATCACTAACTAAGACTAATATAATTTGAGTTAAATGGAAAAGATGTAACATCCTGATGATAAGGTACTTCTAATTTTAACCCTATAATTTTTATTATGTTGCATTTTGGTCCCTAAGTTTAAGAAAGTGTGCAAAAGGAGCCCTAGTGGCATTTTCTTAATTAGGCCTTGGGGGAGTACACCATGTGCACGTGTGTACGCTAAGTGTACTTTCCAGATTTGGAAATCCTAATCATTAGGGTTTAGCTCATATTTAAACATCATTATTGCTTCATTTCCCCTCACCTCATCAACCTCCATCCCTCTTGAGACGTTTTGCAACCCTAGTTTACCTTGAGAAGCTATTTTAAGCCTAAGAATGTGTTTTTTGTGCTTAGAAGAAACAGGAAGGAAGCCAAGCTCATCTTGGAAGAGTGAAGCATTTTAGTATGGAGTTTCTACATCATTTGCAACCTTTCTAAGTAAAAAGCTTACAACTTTATTCCTCTAGCATATAGATCTAGATTTGGATGTTTTTATGGAGCTTTGTGGTCCTAAAATGTTAAATCTTGAACATGGCATATTTTTGACCTTTAATATGTCCTTTTAGACCTTAGAAGGGGTCTTAAGTCATAAAAATGGGTTCCAAATGGTTAGTGTTGCTTCAAGCATCATTTAGAAGGTGTTAATGGAATAAGACCTTAAGTTAAGCACTTATTGGGCATGTTAAGTCATAAAGTTGGAGAATTTATGACTCCTAAGAGTATTTTAGCCATGGATCGGAATTATGGACGTAAGAGCTCAAGCCTTTAAGCTCTTAGTGGGTTTTTAGACTTCGGGGAGTATGCCCCGCGTACTTGGAGTATGCCTTGCTTACGAGGTCAACCACCCTGATGGTGGTCAACATGCGAGGACGAAGTACGCCCAGGTTACCTTCGAAGTATAACTCGTGTACTCGCACTGGGTTAATTCGGTTGAGTTGGCTCGAATGGGTTGACCCGGTTGACTAGTTGGTTTGACCAGTTGACTTTGACATTATTATTATTCCATAAGTCAAATGTCATAAAACATGTCGTGGAATAATAATAATGTCAGAGTACAATCCCAAGAACATCATAGTGCGGAAATCATGTGTGAGATGCGCTGCTACCGTGCTTGCTCCTTTCTCTTCGAAGAGGAAGTACCTGAAAACAAAAATGAAAACCGTAAGCACAAGGCTTGGTGTGTTCCCCCAACATACTACACACCATACAATATCATACTGCCAGGAAATTCTGAGGTGCCTGACCTACCCATGTCAAGCCATTCTAGGGTGCTTGACGTACTCAGATAAAGCCATTTGGGGTGCTTGACTTACCTGTTGGTTTATCTCAACTGACTGCTAGGGACTATTTCACCCCTACCACTACCAATACATATAACAGAACATCCTAGCACATAAAGCATACCAAATAGTGGCAAACCAGATAGTTATCACAAAGACAATCATCTCATACATAACCACCTACTAGTGGGACGACATTGGTGCCTTCAACCCACTTCTACTGGAAGGTACCTCACATTGTAAAGTTGTGTGTCAAATCTCACAGAAAGTAATCTCTAACAGCTGCTCCGATGACTCCCGACTATCATAATCATAATAACACTCAATCAATATCTATAACACTACTTAGGGTAAAATGACCATCTTACCTCCTGACCTAATTTGAACCATTCATAAGGCCCAACTCTAACTTATCAAATCACCCACCTATAGCCCATCAAATGTTTCCTAAGGGCCCACTAATGGACCAATTTTCTGAATTGGGCCGTATTTCCCCAAATGGGCCCATTACAAGTCCAAACGTTCTTAGCCCAATAATAATTTTAAAAGACCTAACATGGCCCAATAGGCCCAATGCTCTAGTTCCAGATTCCCAAGCCCAAAACTATACTCCATAGTGTGCCATGGGCCCAATAGTCCAGGCCTAGTCCCCTAAGGCCCACAAATCCCAATGTAGCCACTCTGCATGCGTACGCCCAACGTACGCCGGCCTTGACTCCAAACGAGAAGTTGACCCAGTACATGCAACGTACCAGGGTGTACGCTTAGCGTATTGGCCAACTTTCTTGGGACTTCATTTATGACTTAATCCATTAAGTCCTCATGTCCGGAATGTAGATCCAGGTTCTTTATGACCTCCTAATCCATAAATTCACAAACTTTATGTGCTTGCATGCATAGTTGGGGGTCAAAACATGATTTTGGTCCTTTAACAAGCTTTATGACCATCAAACTCTTGCATGGTTGTGGCTTAACCATCAAGATCTGATTTTTAGGACCCTTAGTGCCTCTAAGAGCCCAAAAGGCCAACTCTTATGGTCTGAAATCATCAAGATACAAGAAGCTTCAACAATGGAGTCCAAAAATGGTATAAAACACCCCAACATCAAATCTAAACATGCAATGATCAAGTTTGAAGCTTGATACCTCAAATGAGTTAGAAATAGTGCTTATCTTCTGGATCTACAAGATCTTTTTAAATCCTTGCTCCTTATTAAACCTCATTTTCTTTTGAAACATCAAAATCACACAAAGAAGCTCTCAAATGGAAAAAATACACAAAAGTGGGTTAGGGTTTTTGAAGTGGCTGCTTAAGGGTGATAGGAGGCTGGTCCAAGGACATAAGGTCCTTTAAATAGGGATCAAACCAAAAATTTAGGGTTTAGGACTTGCGCGCGTACGCTGAGTGTACCCTTCGGTACGTTGGGCGTACGTGCATGGCCTCCCTGTCCAATTCTTGAAGCCCAACTACCTTGGCCCAATCCAAAACAAACCATTATTCAATTAAGATAAATAATATTAATAGTTGATAAATATCGGATGTTACAAATCTCCTCCACTTGAATTAGACTTCATCCTCGAAGTCCGTTACTACTGCTGAAAATAACTCGGGGGTAGTGCTCCCTCATCTCATATTCCGGCTCCCACATCCATCCTGAACCCTTGCGATTTCCTCAACGCCTTCGTTTTCCTATCTAGAATGGATATCATCCACTTGATGTAGTTCAAGCTGTCATCCACCTAGATATCCTCTAAGGGTACCACCGCTGAGTCATCTTCCAAGCACTTCCTCAATTGGGAGATATGGAAAGTGCTGTGGATCTGGCTTGCACTCACCAACTTAATTGTTGACACTCTTTCAAAATTACTTGTAGTCTCAGGTAATCAATAAAAACAGGTAACTACCAACTTTTGAGGATGGAATGCTATGACGTCAGACAAACTCTTTTACCATTATCTTGTAATCGATTTTGAAACATGTAACTCATGAAACCATGTAACTTTTGTTGGATTAATGTCTAAGTCCATAACTACAATTGGTAAGACTTGACCCAATCAGGCATGGTCCATTTGGGTTGCATGGCATCATGCATTTGGATCGACTATAATGAGAGTATTAATCTAGGATTAATTAAGTGATCAAAAGAAGACTAATTAAATATATGGGTTGATTCTCTAAATCATCCATACTTGTATAGTGGGCTAATACTTCATGGATTGTCAAGTTGGGCTAAAACCCATAAGATGCTCCATGGATGCTTCATGG